TTAGTGGACTGAGGGTTGTGAGGACACTTATACAGTTGGGAGACTTAACACTTCTACTAATTATAAAAACAGAAATCATGAAGTTGACTTGATCTGCTTCCAAACCTGAAATGATGGCACCTCCTGAATCTCTGTGCTGCACGGTTTCCAGGGAGTGCTGATGTTGAGGGAGAAACGGTAAAGGGTTGTAGAGGTTCCAAGGTCCAACTTTGATATGTACACGGTCAGCAAAGAGCCTATAAACACAGTGCAAAGTGCCAAATTTTATAGTCATGGAACAGGCTGAAAATAAGGAGTAGTAGTGTTGAATGTTTTACTTGTTTGGTTGGTGCCCGAATTTGGCTTCACTGAGCTCCGAGGAACAGCAGAGGTTGTTGAGCTGGTGGCCTGTTGATACCGGAGGTCACTACAGTATATTGAATTGTCCTTTCAGATTTGTTGTAACTGGGACATTGTTATTAGTGGTTGTGGATGCTGTCCTTTTGTGGGTGCAGGAGGAAGTATACCCTGAGGAGTATAGGTGCAAGTGATTTTGTTGATTGGTAATCACATGATTGTCTTTCTGATTGCACATGCTCTGAGTAAGGCTTCATATATTAATCATTGATATATGATTTTTTTTTTCTATAGAGTATTGTGCTTTTCCTGACTTTGCTCTGGAGAAACCAGAAGACACTGTTTTTAAATGCAGAGCCTCCAACTGTATGTCAGTGCAGGAGAATCTCAGCTGTTCTCTGTTGTGAACTCCACCTTGGTTTAACTGTATATGTGCATCAAAAGCTATGTGAGAGCTAATGCTGTATGTTTCACATAATGTGAAGCAGGAGGTTGCTATTCCCCGTGAGATGTTACACTAACCTCAGTGTTAGTGTTGTTGTAATAACAAATGTTACAACAAAATATCAGGTACTGACATTGAGCACACTGTTAATATTGACATCATCATCGTCATGTTAATTCTCAAAAGCAGAGTAAATACATTTTGCATTCTGTGTAAACCTGACTCAATTTCTAACCTCAAGGCTAATCATTACATTTCTACTGGAGTTGTATGTCTATTGTTCTTAAAAGCCTCACCACAAAAACAACATACCTTGGCCTACACACTAGCAAGAACAACCCAGTCTCATAGCATAGATAATATTTACTTTGATTCACAACACAAAATGTACTATGCAGGTCTCACAATTAAGCTTCCAATACTATGACATGGCAACATTTTCTTGATCGAAAATTGTGACATGGCAATGTCTTTCTGAAACAACAAAAGAATGCGGTTAAGTTCAGGCATAGAAACTACATGGCTAAGGTTAGAGGAAGACTCTAGGTTTGGTTAAAACACTCTCAAATGAAAAGCACAACACTGGACTTGGGGCACAGTCTCTGGTTTTCTGCATAAAAGTCAGGTGTTTGATGGACCCATCCTTCTGCCCAACCACCATATTCTGGTGTTTTTAACATTCTATATTTCACAACCATTCAACGGACACTAAATGTTAGCTTCCTGATCCACACTACAGTCCAGTTGGTGGTGGTAATGCATCATTTTGTTGTTTCCCAACTGCCATAAAACACCAAGAAAACACAAAGGACACTGGGCTGCAACACGAAAAATGTTGGCATGTCACAATTTTACAGTTGTTATTGTGACATTACTGTGTTTTACGCTGTGAACCAATGTAGCTATCTACAGTACATATTAGTGTGAGAGTATGGGCTGTCATGACACAGGTAAAGGAGCATCGAAACTGAACTGCTTGAGTGTGAACACTGTAGAACAAAGGTTTGGGCATGATTTGTATAGTTATACAACAAGTCTTTTGAGTATGATTTCTTTTTCCATCTGGAACTAAAGGCTGGCAGTTGTCAGGGTTTCTCTTTCAGTCTGTTTGCCATGTTGTTTTTGGGGTTTCTTGATCCTGTATGTACAGTATATGTATTGTGAAGGCTGCATAGTCTATAAAAAGCTTGTAAAACATGTAAAGTATAAAAGGCTTCACATTAATGTTTGTTAACAATATGTGAAAATGCATTGCTTTTCTCTACAGATGTTTCAGTTTTTGTAGGCCCAGTTGTTGCAGTGTTTTCTGATGGATGCATACCTTAATGGCAAAAATTCTTCCCTTGTTCCAAACAGACATAAATCAAAATTAATCAGGAACGCCTACATTACTGGACAAGGAAGAGGCAATGAGCAAAGTGCTTCCTGGCTCCAATCTAATAATGGATAGCAAAGTGATTCTGATAAGCAGTTAAGGGGCATTAAAGATGTTCACTTTTGTCTTGGCAGTGAAAAGACTCCATGGACAAGAGCTAGACGGTTGTTGAGTCTTTTGATGCTGTTCCTCATGATGGCAACTTTAATGTTTATTTTCTACAATTCAAGCGACAAAGCATCATGGCATTTGACCTCTTGGAGGACAAGTTCATTATCAAGACAATCGTATATTATGCCTACCACTTTAGTGGACAAAGTGAGTATATTTACTGGCCTCCTGTGTTGGTGTAATCTTGCACACGTGCAAAAAAAAAAAAAGATCCACACACATTAATGGTCTGCTGTTGTTTCCATTCATCTGATAATAAAAGTCATGTATTTTAGATGAGCCATCAGCAGTCTATTTCTGTAACACTGTAGCCTACTGTGGCTACGTGCTTAGGCTCTGAGATAGAAGTACAAGTGATTTAACAGAGCAGTTACACCGTAGACCTTCTGCACACTGCTATCATAGCAAAGGAAACTGATTTTAACCATCCAGAAAACTACTGGTAAGGCAGCAAACAAGAGGATGTACAAATTGTCCAAGTTTGAAACACACACTGGCACACACATGGTCGAAGTGTACTTTGTTAACTAAAGCTAACATTTGTATATCTGGTACACCTGCTGTTTTGGGCACATAAATGCAGAATGTACAGTCTATCAGTCAAATTTGTGCAAATAATTCAATTCAAATTTTCAATTTTCCTTTTTCCTGAACACATCATAATCAAACCATATTTTGTCTGTTCATATGAAGCTAATATTAGGCTGTAGATAAGTTAACAAGAAAACAGGTAATCCTGTACTACTGAGAGGCAAATCTCAAAACACACTGACCTCCTTTGTTTACACAGCTCTCAGATTCAGCATCCCAGTTCTTTGTGGCATACCCGCACCACTACAGTTTCATATTGGATGAACCAAACAGATGTCGGCAGGAAAGCCCATTCTTGGTTCTTATGATCCCAGTCGCACCCCATGAGAGAGAGGCCCGTGACAGAATCCGCAACACATGGGGCAATCAAACCACAGTGCTGGGCCAAGTGGTCAGCCATTACTTCCTGCTGGGACTGTCCAGAGAGGACGATGGGAAAGAGAAGCTTCAGGAGCAAGTGAGTGGATTAATTTTGGAAATGACTGAGTTCATTTTCACTGTCTCTTCCAATTGTGAAAAAAACATTTCAGTATAACAAGACAGTAAAAATATTAAGAAGGGGTTCACTGGGGGAAGTCTCCCATCAGTATTTTCATATGTACAGTAAGAACGGTATTTTTATACTATACAATGAAATTCTTAATTTGCCAGTCTCCCTTCAATCAAAAATAAAATCAGCAGTAATCGGAATAAATAACAATAAAATCATTTTAGATATATAAGTGCATTAGCACTGCAAAATCCACAAGTTCACATTCAAACAGTGTGATGGGAGTGGGCAGTGTTTAGAACTAATGGCCTGTGGATATACACTGTTTGACAGACACTTTATAGTCCTGTAGCATCTCACTAATGGCAGGAGACTGAAGAGGCCTGTACTGTCCCCTATGAAGTCACGTGTCCTTTCAATGACCCTGGTGTTACGGATGTTCTGAAGCAATGGGAAGGAAAGCCTGGAAATAATTTCTGCTGCTCTAATTACACACTGGAGAGCCTTCCTGTCCTGTGCAGTGCAGTTACCATACCACATTGTTATGGTGCTTGTCAGGACATGCTTGACTATACATCTGTAGGAGTTGCTGAGGATCTTGGTTGACATGTCAAATTTCCTCAGCCTTCTCAGAAAGTATAGTCTCTGCTGACATTTCTTGATGATCTGTCATGTATTGTTAGACCAGGTGAAATCCTTACTCATCTGGATATTTGAAGGTTTTAACCCTCTTGACCGCAGTTTCACTAATATACAGTGGAGTGTGCCGCTCCTTCCTTCTCCTAGGGTCAACAGTCATTGCCTTTGTCTTGTCTGCATTTAGGGAGAAGTTATTTGCATTGCACAAAGCCACCAGCTCTACTGCCTCTTTTCTGTATGCTGCCTCAACCCCTGCAGTTTTCAGTTCAATGTCTGTCATGTTATCAATAAATATGATTACAATGGTGCTGCTCTGAGAAGCCACATAGTCATATCTGAATAGCCTGTGATCAACAGTGATGATTGCAGAACTATAGTCCATAAAAAGCATTCTGACACACGTATCTCTGCCCTCCAAGTGTGTGAGTGCTGCGTAGATGGCAGCGCTGACAGGGTCATCAGTGGACCATTTCTCATGTTCTCATGATACACGCAAACTGCAGAGGGTCTAAGGTATATGGGGTGGTCTTTATGATGTGAGCCATGACTAGCCTCTCAAAACACTTCATCACAGTTGGGATGAGTGCAATGGGATGGTAGTCATTCAGGCATGTCACAATGGTCTTCTTGGGGAGGGGCACAGTGGTGGTGGATTTAAAACATGTGAGCACACAAGTTTGTGCAAGAGACAGATTAAAGATGTCTGCTAGCAGATCAGCCAGCTCTGATGACTATATTTTCATAGAATATTAAATGGAATCAAATAACAATGTAGAATGCGAAAGTGGTTCTGTGTCCACATTTGTGTTAGCAGATTATTTTTGTAGAAAGGCCTGATCAACATGAAAATGGCTAAAGCTATTCTTCTAATCCATCTTTTTAATTGGCAAAAAAAAAACTGGGCTGTGGTTACTCACACAGACAAGTTTACCAACTATATGGTAAGAGGGGGAGGTGACAGTGCAGTGGATAGAGCAGTCATCTCCCAACCGGAAGATTGAAGTTTTGAATCTCGGTGCTTGCAGTCCACATGTCGAAGTGTCCTTGGGCAAGACACTGAACCTCCCCATTGTCCCCGATGGTTAGAGCAGGTGGCTGCCTCGGTTCTGTACCGGAAACAAATTCCTTGTGTGTAACATACTTCATTATTGTTATTGTGATTATTATTATTATTATTGTAAACAAGGTGGAGCAGGAGCAGTTAATGACAGCATACCCACAAGGAGAGTAAATATTTGACTTAATTGAATGCTACAATAATGCTGCTGTGTATCTGCTGGATTAGTAAACTATATTTTAATCTCAGTTTCCTATCTGTCTTCTTCAAGGTGTTACAAGAAAGCCAGATACATCAGGACATTATCCAGAGTAACTTCTTGGACAGCTACAACAACCTGACCATTAAAACCATGGTCATGTTTGAATGGCTCAGCTCCCATTGCCCCACCACCTCCTATGCCATGAAAGTCGACTCAGACATATTCCTTAATGTCCACAAGCTCACTGACATGCTTTTGACAGCCCCCCGACATCTCTATATGACAGGATTAGTGATAAGATGGGGTGCTGTCTTTCGAGATGAAAGCTCAAAGTGGTATCTGCCTGTTTCAGCCTTCCCAGAGGGCTATTACCCACCATATGTCATGGGTTTGGGCTATGTGTTCTCAATGGATCTACCCCAAAAGATAGTGGAGGCATCTCTGCATGTTAAAGCTGTTTACATTGAAGATGTGTACGTGGGACTATGTATGAATTACCTGGGAATCGAACTGACAGATCCTCCTCATTCTGGACTGTTTAAGGCAATGATGCCTAATTTAACAGACAGCTGTTACTGGACCTCTGTCATTGCAGTGATTCTACGAGACTCACAGCAGCTTTCAGATGTATGGAGAGTATATCAGACTCAAGTACAAAGTGGTTGTTGAAAACCTCTGTCTGTACCTTACAAAAATTGCAACAGTTTTAATGTGTAATGTTGGACCATGCGACTGCCTAGCCCAGTTGTGTAATTCAGCAGTTTTGCAACACATATTTGTTTACACTGTAAGTTACTTCCTCTGATATATTTTTCATCTGTGAAGTTTGAGCTTAAGCTCTGATACTTATGACAGAGACTTTAAGACTGATATGCATTTTGAAGCTAAGCAAAACTGTTTTAGTTGTTCACAAATATATCATAAATAATTATAAAGATGTCAGTAAGTTAAGGATTTTATAATGAGAGCAGTTTTAAAAATAGTTTTTATGACCATGCAACTTACATGGCCAGGAAACAGAATGTAACTCTTACTAATACAAGTGTAATTAAGATGAGCAAGCGCAAGAAGGGAACAGTCCCAGTACTGTACCACATTGTGGAAGAACAGAGCTGACTTCATTTAAAGCCCCTACACATAGAATATCAATAATTTATTTTCAAAGATCAAGAGATCAAAGATTTTTTATTGTCAATTCACTATATGTGCGGGACATACAGAAAAATCAAAATACTCTTTCTCTCTCACCTAATGTTGAATTCCATTACCATTTAAGAAACTAAAATAGAATAAAAGTAGAATAAACACAGAATAAATAGAATATGAAAACTGTAATAAGGATAAACTAAAAGGTACACCCTAATAGACTATGATGAAACTCAAAGCCATGTGCAAACAGTGACAGTAGTGCAAATAACAAGAAGATTGTCAGCATCACCAGGGGCATTGGTGATGGGATACATAATAGCTTATGAAATGTACATGGACAGCAGTGCAAGTGACCAACAACAGCAGATATGATGGAAATAAAAAACAGTCAGCAGCAGATTCACATATAATATGACAAAAATGGGGAATGTATTGAGTTTGTGCAAACAGCAAGATACAAGCTTTTAATACAGTTGTCCAGTATTCGCAAATGTATTTTTTACAACATTTTGGATTTTGGACATTTTGCTATGCAAGTATGCGCCAAACCCTGCTTGTGCAACTGTAAGCATTTGTGTCTGTATAGCATGTGTAGAGTCAGTTCACATTGCAACAGGCTCATACTCGTTTTTGTAGTGAGCAAGTGTACTGGGCATTTGTGCACAGGAAGCAAATGGTGTACCAAAACACTGAGGAAACACTTTGGAAAAGGGAAAACTATGGCCCAAAACTCTGACAAATAGTAGACAATGAGGAAATTACTGGCTGCAATTGCATGTATATACTGTATAGTATACTGTATACCTAACTCATGGTAAAACAGCAAATTAAAAGTAAAGAGTAGCATGTTCAGAAGGATTGATGTACCCTACCCTAGGAGCTCTGGTTGGAACTAGGGATCTTTCATTGTTCTAGTGGATTCTGTGGAGCATTTTGCATGCCTAGCTCCAAAAATATAGACCTGAAGCTAAAAATAGGCTTCAGGTGGCGGCTAAGTGCATAAAGCCCAACTAATATGCCAGCAGACCATATGAAGGAGTAAAACGTAGTAAAAATAGATGGGTGTCAACTAATGATTACATAAAGAGAGGTCAGTCTGATGACCCCTTAGGGGGATGCAGAAGTGTGTACCAGTTTACATGACAATGGCTAATTGCGTTACCGACAAAAAGATTTTACTAAAGGTGGGTATCACAAAAGAAAGGAGTGGATTGAATCTACCTTGTATCCAGATGTTGCAGGGATAGAAACCCACGGTGCCTGCGTTGAACATAATGTAGGCTAGGTATCAGCTGTAGCGCAAGCTTTAGCTAAAGAAGAAGAAGCTGAAGCAGGCAGATTGCACTTGCAAACTGAGGCCTGTGTCCATGATTAAGGGACAGATAAACCAAAGCAGATCATGCTAAAGGCATATCCAGCAAGAATGTATGAAAGAGATCCTGAAAGGTAATTGGCATTACAATCTCACATCTGCAGTGCCTGTAATATAATTACACTCACACTTGTTATTACATTAGATATATTTCTGGGGGCATATTTAAATTTTGTGAATTTTGGTTTATTGCTTATTAGCACCCTTAACCATAGCCGTTACATATATCTGTTAGTGCTGTTCTGTGACTCATGTTAGAACCCATTGTTTACCGTTGTCATAGGTTTACAATAGCCTTGCCTGCCCAATGAAATTGAGGGGCCTGACTCTCCAGCGTGGTTTGCCTTAGCAAAGGGGGAAGAGGGCTCTTTGCATCACCTGTGTGCTTGGCCAGCAAGTGGTATTTGAGAGTCAACAAACTCAGGTGGTAAATGAAAGCACATCAACAAGAAATGCAAATAACTTTGGTCTTGTTGAGAGAACCATCTGGCAGGGCTTTGAAGCTGAATTTGCCTTTCCAAAGACCCTTTGCTTTATCCATTTCTGCTGAGGGTAATAATCACAGAACGTGCCTGCATTAACTGCACGTCAAATTGTGGCATTAAAAGGGATTTGAGTTAACTTGTTATTACACTTTTGCATTTGTTAAACCAAAAGCAATTGCAGTGGTTAACTTGTTTATAGTAAATGCATTGCCTGCTGGTTTATTTTGTTTTCAGTTCACCATGTTCAGTATGCATTTAGTAACTTTAGCATTTAGTAGCACTCTTGTGAGTTTGCTACCTTTTAAGATTAAACCATATAAGGGTAAAACATTTCGGGTTGATATTGATATAATGGAAGCAAAGAGCCACAGTTAACAGAACTGATAATGGGTGTGTTACAGTCTGTGTAAAAGTGATCAAGCATTGACAACATATTATAGTAGTGGTGGCAAGGAGGGCCCCAGATAAAATTTTTCATAGGGCCCCATAAAGACCTAGGCTGGCCCTGAACTGTATTTCCATACTATATCTCTGCTCAGGAGGAGCCCTAGATCTCTGCTCAGGAGGAGCCCTAGCATGCTTGTCAGGAGGAGCCCTAGCATGCTTGTCAGGCGGAGCGTCTCACTCCCTCACAAATTACAATGCAGTCGGACAGTTAGACAGATACTTTCTATCCAAAGCCTGTTGTAGATTACAAAGCAGTCGGTTTTGAAAACATGCCCTGGATTTTAAAAATGCAGAGGAGTTCTGTTTCTACATGGTAAGTCTGGATTTTAATTCAGTTTATTTCAAATGCATTGACTTGAATGGATCCTTATTGTAGTAGACACTACACTCTTCACTAACACTACAGTAAATGTAGAAGTAAATAGAGTAGTAGTTTAGACACATACCATTTCTGACTGTGTGGCTGTAATGTGTCATCGAGTGTTCAACCAAGAAAATAAGTACTATTTTGAAGTTGTTTATGCAATAATACATGTTTTTCCTGGATTCTACAGCAGAGAGGAGCACATAACACCGGTAATACTAATTAATACTTGTAAAGCTAAATAGAGAATATAAAACCACCTAAAAGATCTCCTTTTGTACAGTCACTAAAACTTAAGGTCTTGCTAAGTTCAATACCTTTGTATAGATTTGCATATGTTTGATTCATCATGTGATTATGTACTTGATTGTGTTGGGTTTGTTTTTAACTCTTTATGTATTTTTATTTGTTTTATATTTTAGTGGGTTATCTATTCTATTTATTGGTATGTGTGCTTGATATTGAGTGTGAACCGCTGCTGAAACAATGCAATTTCCCAGATTGGGATTAATAAAGTATTTCTATTTATCTAAATTGCAATTATGCATCTGCAACTGAACACAGAGCTCTCAGATAACAAAAACTGGCTTGACCTGTTCTTAACACTATTAGCTTTGGATAATAACAGACAACTCCCAGCATGTTCACAATCTCTAACAGAAGTTTCTCCTCCAAATTCAGCACTGTTCAACCATTATTTATCACCTTGGCAATTCCCCACACCCACACCTGAAATGGCTGTATAGTATATGCGGTGTGTATCCAACCCATGGTGACACACAAAATACAAACTACGCACATTTCAGAAACAACTGTGTGCTCAGTAGGACCGATGTAACAGAT